CACCGGGTGCAGCCACCGGTGCCCACTGGGGTCGCCGGGCATCTCGAGCAATGCCTCGAGGTCGCCCTTGCGACGCCAGCGGTCGACCTTTGAGAGAACAGGAAGACCCGCTTGGAGGCCAAGTTGCCACGTCATAGTTTGGAAGTTCTGTTTTGGGGGAGGTGCCTGATTTTTGAGCCGGAGGTCCAGAAAGGATTGAAGATTGAGATTGCATGTTTCAATCCTGGTAAAGACTCGGATTCATGAAATCTTGTGAAGACCTTGTGAAGATAATTAGGTGAAGACAGCCAGTGACAAAATGTGACAAATCCGTTCCCCCACCACATGCAGGATCTATCGGAAACTGCTCGCGGACCAAACGGTGAGACACACAGGACCCCATGCGAAAACCTCTCCGTTTCCCTCGGAAACGGATGAGAAAACCGGTCTTGTTCGTTCACCGGTCGCCCCTGAGAAACCCATCCGAACCAAGCTCCCGGAGCCCAAAGACTGCCGCCACCGCATGCAAACACGGAAGCCAATCAATCACGCTCTGTTCTCCGTAGCACGCTGCGAGAGCTTCAAGCCCGAAACAAACACTCGCCCAGTGTGGGACCGACCAGGGAGACCGTGACCGAGAAAAGGGAGACTGCGGAGATCCTCGGATCACGAGGGGACCGAGGATCGGTTCTCCCAAAGCATGGACCGTGACTCCTTCTTTCGGGTTCGTCTTGTGAAAGGTCTTGTGGTGATCGTCCCAAACCATCATGGAGCCGCTAGAAACAAATCCTTCGACGTCCTAGAAACGTATGCGGTTGGGCCTCTGCACCGGAAGGTCTCTATTCGGTTGGGGTGGTCGGACATGACATCATTTGTCTTGAATCTCTCCAAAGCACCACCGCACCCCATACCAAAGCCTCTATTCAAAAGGAAGTCTTTTCATTTCCTTCTAAAGATCCTTTGAGTATTCTAGTGATTGAAGTGGACCGGTTTGGAACATATCAAGTGACTAGTCCACAAAACTATCGACTTCTACAAGTGATGTTTCTTCTGTCTCTTCGTGCTCTCCCACATCCAGCACTGGGCCTTGGAAGCTAATGCGCACTACCCTCACTCCTCCTCGTCCTTGTCGTCGTTGATGTTGAAGTATCGCATC